CTAGATATGAATGACAAAAAAAAACAAAACCTGGAAGTCATAAAAGAAACTATTGATGTATTTCATTAGATAAAAAAGGATGAAAAATCTGTATGACAAAAAAAAAAAATACAACAAACCCTATATGTAAGAACCAAAGATTAACAACAAACAGGAAGAGGTATTTGCAGCTTATATTACAGGTGAAAGGCTAATTTCCTTACATACACAGTTCCTAAAAATCAGTTATAGAAATACTAAAAATTCAGGTGCCTATTTGGTTCAGTTGGTTAAGCAAATGCTTTCTGCTCAGGTCATGTGGGATTGAGTCCTGAGTCCGGCTCCCTGCTCAGTATGGAGTCTGCTTCTCCCTCTTCCTCTGCCCCTCTTCCCTGCTCATGCTCTCTCTCTCTCTCTCTCTTGCTTTCTCTCTTTCAGATAAATGAATGAAAGAAAAATACTAAAAATTCTGTAGAAAATTTAATGAAGGAAATGAACAGAAAACTCACAGAAAAGGATTGTATACAAGGTTCTTAAAAAAAAAAAAAAATTTAGGGGCACCTGGGTGGCTCAGTCAAGCGTCTGCCTTTGGCTCAGGTCATGATCCCAGGATCCTGGGATCCAGTCCCACATTGGGCTCCCTGCTCAGCAGGGAGCCTGCTTCTCCCTTTCCCTCTGTTTCTCCTCCTGCTTGTAATCGCACATGTGAGTGCTCTCTCTCTCTCTCTCTCTGTGTGTGTCAAATAAATAAGAATAAAATCTTAAAAAAAATTTTAAATAACAGCTTGAGATAAAATTGAATCCCATAAAATTCACCTATTTGTTAAAAATTTATTTTAGAGAGGGCAAGAGAGCACAAGTGGGAGGAGCATAGGGGGAGAGAATCTGAAGCAGACTTCATGCTGAGTGCGGAGCCTAATGCCGGGCTCCATCTCATGACCCTGAGATTACAACATGAGCCAAAACCAAGAGTCAGACACTTAACTAACTGTGCTACCCAGGCACCCCTACTTTTAAATTATTTTAAAGTAGGCTCCATACCCAACATGGGGTTTGAACTCACAACCTTGAGATTGAGAGTTGTATGCTCTACGGACTGAGCCAACCAGATGCCCCAAAATTCACCTATTTGAAATGTACAATTCGATGGTTTTTAGTGTATTCATACACAGTTGTGCAACCATCACCACAATCAATTTTAGAACATTTTCATCACCAACTCCCCCCGCCCTCCAAAATACCCCATACTTATTAGCAGTAACTCTAATTACTAATTACCTACTACTTTTTCCCCATCCACCCACTCGTAGCCCCTAATTTACTTTCTGTCTCTTTGGATTTGCCTATTCTGGACATTTCATATAGATGGAATCCTACAATATGTGGGCTTCTGTGTCTGGTTTCCTTCACTTAAAATAATGATTTCAAGGTTCATCCATGCATAGTGTGTTTCATGCATACCTCTTTCCTTTTCTATGACCAAGTAATATTCCATCATGCAGGCATACCACGTCTGTTTATCCACTCCGCCGTAGACAGACATCTGGGTTGTTTCTTCTTTTTGGCTATTATGAATAGTGCTACAATGAATATCTGCATTCAAGTGTTTGTGTAAACATACGTTTTCAATTCTCTTGGGCATATACCTAGGAGTAGATGCTGGGTCATATGGTAATTCTTTTTTATTTATTTATTTATTTATTTAATTTATTTCAGCGTAACAGTATTCATTGTTTTTGCACCACACCCAGTGGTCATATGGTAATTCTGTGTGTAACTTTGTGAGGAACTGCCTGTTTTCCAAAGTAGCTGCATCATTTTACATTCCCGCCAGCAATGCATGGGTTATAGCTTCTCCACATTCTTACCAACACTTGTTATCATCTGTCCTTTTTATTAGCGGCATCCCAGTGAGTATGAAGTAGTATCTCATTATGTTTTTGATTTATATTTATCTGAAGATTAATGATGTCAGGCATCTTTTCATTTGCATATTGGTCATTTGTGTATCATCTTTGGAGAAATGTTCATCTACATCGTGGTATGTACCAGCCCATTTGTTCCTTTTAATTGCTGAGTAGTATTCCACTATATGAATATAACACAATTTGTTTTTTGTTCACCTGTTAATCAACATGTGAATTATGTGGGTTTTGGCTACTATGAATAAAGTTTCTGAGAACACTTGTCTATAAGTCTTTTTGTGCACATATTTTTTCCCACCCTTATTGTGATATAATTGACATGTAACATTATATAAATTCATGGTGATATGATTTGATACATATGTATATTGTAAAATGATAACCACAATAAGGTTAACACCTCTATTACCTCGCATAATTACATGTTTTTTTGGGGGGGGGATTTATTGTTGTTGGTGGTGAAAACACTTAAGATTTACCCCCTTAGCAACTCTCAAGTATATATACAGTATTGCTAAGTATAGTCACCATGCTACACATTATGTCCTCAGAACTTATTCATCTTATAACTGGAAGTTTATACCCTCTGACCAACATCTCCCCATTTCTACCACCCCCATTCTTGGTAACCACCATTCTACTCTCAATTTCAATGAGTTTGACTTTTTTAGATTCCATATATATTTGTCTTTCCAAATAGCATTTGTCTTTCTCTGTCAAACTTATTTCACTTAGTATAATGCCTTCAAGTTCCATCCATATTGTTGTAGAAGGCAAGATTTCCTTCTCTTTTATAGATGAATTGTATTCCACTGTATACATATACCGTATTTTCTTTATCCATTCATACATCAGTATTTATATTGTTCCTGACTTGACTATTGTGAATAATGCTGTAATGAACGTGGGAGTGGAGATAGGTCTTTGAGATAGGAATTTCACTTCCTATGGATATATGCCCAAATATGGGATTGCTGGATTGTATGGTAGTTCTATTTTTATCTTTTTGAAGAACTTCATACTATTTTCCAGAATGACAGTACCAATTTACATTCTCCCCAACACAAGGGTTTCCTTTGCTCTACATTCTGCTAACACTCGTTACCTCTTTTTTAATAATAATTTTTATAGATGTGAGGTGATATCTCATTGTAGTTTTGATTTGCATTTCCCTGATAATTAGTGATGTTGACTATCTTTTCATGTATCTGTTGGCCAATAATATCTCTTCTTTGGGAAAGTATTTATTCAGGTCCTCTGCCCATTTTTAAATTGGATTATTTGGATTTTTTTGCTATTGAGTTGTGTGAGTTCCTTATAAATTTTGGATATTGATGACTTATCAGATATATGGTTTGCAAATATTTTCTCTCATTCTGTAGGTAACCTTTTCATTTTGTTGACTGTTTCTTTTGCTGTGCAGAAGCTTTTGAGTTTGATGTAGTCCCAGTTATTTATTTTTGCTTTTGTTGTTTGTGTTTTTGGTATCACATACAAAAAATCATTGCCAAGACCAAAGTCAAGAAGATTTTCCCCTATGTTTTCTTGTAGGAGTTTAACAGTTTTAGGTCTTACATTTAAGTCCTTAATCCATTCAAGTTAACTTTTGTAAGTGGGTAAGATAGGGGTCCAATTTCATTATTTTGCCTGTTTTCCCAGCACCATTTGTTGGAGAGACTAACCTCTCTCCACTGAGTGTTTTTGGTTCTCTTGCCAAATATTCACTGTATATGCATAGGTTTATTTCTAGGCTCTTGATTCTGTTCCATTGGTCTGTGCAAATGTTTTTATGCCAGTACCATACTGTTTTGATTATGTTATAGTTTTGTAATATAGTTTGAAATCAGGAAGTGTGGTAGCTCCTGCTCTGTTCTTTCTTAGGATTGATTTAGGTATTCAGGGTCTTTTGTGGTTTCATATGAATTTTAGGATTTTTTTTTAACTGCTGTGAAAAATTCCATTGGAACATTGCTAGGGATTACATTGAATCTGTAGATAGCTTTGAGGAATAGGAACATTTTAACAATATTAATTCCCCCAATTCATGAACACAGATATCTTTCCATTTGTTTCTGTCTTCTGTCTTACAGTTTTCAGTGTACAGATTTTTCACCTCTTTCATTAAAATTATTCCTAAGTATTTTATAGTGTTTGATACTATTGTAAATGGCATTGTTTTCTTTATTTCTTTTTCAGTTAGTTTGTTGTTAGTGTATAAAAATGCAACTGGTTTTTGTACATTGATTTTGTGTCCTGTAACTTAACTGAATTCATTTATTAGTTCTAAGAGGTTTTTGATGGATTTTTAATTGTTTTAATTTTTTAAAGATTTTATTTATTTGAGAGAAAGAGTGAGCAAGAGAGAGAGAGAGCACATGAACAGGGGCGAGGGAGAAGGAGAAGCAGACTCCCTGCTGAGCAGGGAGCCTGACATGGGTTTGATCCCAGGACCCTGAGATCATGAGCTGAGCCAAAGGCAGAGACACTTAACCGACTGAGCCATCCAGTGCCCCTTGTTGGATTTTTTAAAAAATTCGTTCTATATACGGTGATATTCTCTACAGAGTTTTATTTCTTCCTTTCCAATTTGGATGGCTTCCATTTCTTTTTCTTGCCTAATTTCTCTGGCAAGGACTTCCAGTACTATGTCGAAAAGGCATGGTCTCATTCCTGATCTTAGAGGGAGAGGCTTCAGTCTTTCACCATTGAGTATATAAGTTGTGGGCCATAAATGGCCTTTATTTTGTTGAAGTACATTCCCTTCTATACCCAATTTGTTCTGAGTTTTTTCATGAAAGGATGCTGAACTCCATGGACATATGTTTTTTATTTCTCTTGGGTAAATATCTAAGGGTGGAATTGCTGGCAGACTTTTTCCGGAGTGGTTGTACTGTTTTAACATGCCCACCAACAATGTCTGAAAAATCCCTATTGTTAACACATCCTTGGTAACATTTGGTGTTTTCAGTCTTCTTTTCCCCCTTAGCTTTATTGAGATATAATTGACATGTAACATTGTTTAAATTTAAGATATACAATGTGATGATTTGATTTATGTATGTATTGTGAAATGATTATCACTATAAGGTTATTTTAAAAAATATGGAGCACTTCGCAAACTTGCCTATCATCCTTGCACAGGGGCAATGCTAATCTCTATCGTAACAATTTTAATATATGTGTTGCTGAAGTGAGCCCAGATTTTTTAATTTTAGCTTTTCTTGTGAGTATTGAGTGCTATCTCGTTATGGTTTTAATTTGCATTTCCCTGATGATTAATGATGCTGAACAGTTTTTAATTGTTTATTTGGCCATTTTCTTTGTGAAGTTCCTTTTGAAATCTTCTGCTCAGTTTTGGGTGGGCTGTTTTAATTATTGAGCGGTAGGAGTTCTTTATGTATTCTGGTTGCAAGTCAGATATGCATATTGCAAATATTTCTACCATTCTTTGGGTTGTTTTTTTCCCTTAATGGTGTCTTTCACTGAGCAGAAGTTTTTAAAGTCCATTTGATCAATTTTTTCTTTTATGGTTAGTGCCTTCTGGGTCCAGTTTTTAAAAATCTTTGCCTACCCTAAGTTTGTGACAGTATTACCCTACATTTTCTTCTGAAAGGAATAGAAATCTAGCTTTTATGTTTAGGTCTATAATCCATCTTGAATCAATTTTTGTGGGTGGCTTGAGGTTGAGGTCAAGGTTCTTTTTGTACCATCTGGATAGCACCATTTGTTGAAAAGACTTTACTTTTCCCACTTACTTGTTTTTGTTCCTTCGTTTAAAAAAAAAAAAAAGTCAATTGACTTTATATGTGTGGGTGCATTTCTAGATCTTCTGTTCTGTTCTACTGATATATTTGTAAAACTTTAGTCTTAATTACTTTAGCTTTATAGTAAGGTAGTGTATGCACTTCAGCTTTTACTTTTCCAGTATGGTTTAGGTCATTAGAGGTCTCTTGCATTTCCATATAACTTTGAGAATAAACTTGTCAATTTCTACAAAAAGAAAGACAGACAGACAGAAAGAAAAAAAAGAAAGGAAGGAAAGAAAGCAAAGCAAAGCAATCCTGAGAATAATTTGATTGAGATTTGAAGACTCTGTAGATCAATCGGTGGAGAATTGTTAACTTCATAATATTGAATCTTCTAATCCATGGACATAGTACATTTTTCCTTGGGTCATCTTATATTTCTCTCAGCAATGTATTATAGTATTTAATAGATAGATCTTACACATTTTATTGAATTTATCCCTAAATATTTCATGTTTTATGCTAATATTATAAACAGTATTATTGTTAAAACTATTTTCTTTACCAATTTTTCACTGCAACATTATAGAAATATAATTGCCTTTTTGTATATTCCTCTTGTATCGTGTGACTTTGTTAAATTCACTTATTAGTTCTCATAGTTTCTTTGTAGATTCCTTAGAATTTTCTACATGCAAAATCGTGTCATATGCAAATAGAGGCAGTTTTACTTCTTCCTTTCCAATCTCTGTGGGGTCTTTTTTCTTTATTTATTGCACAGGGTAGAACCTCATTACAATATTAAATAAATTTGGTAAGAGCAGATAACCTTGCTTTGGCTGGAAAATTTTTAGTCTTTAGAATTAAGTAGGAGGTTTTTCATGGATGCCCTTTATTAGGTTGAGGAAGTTTACTTTTATTCTTAGTTGGTGAGAATGTTTATTATGAATTGATATTCATTTTTATATTATTTTTCTGAATCTATTGAGTGACATATGATTTTTCTCTTTTGTGCTGTTCATGTGGATAAATCCACCTTAGTCATGATTTATTATCATTTCATATGTCATTGGATTCCTTTAACTAACATTTTGTTAGTGATTTTTGTGTCTATCTGCATGAGGTATTTTAGGGTATTGGGAGTCAGGATTATTCTGACCTCATAAGATGAGTTTGGAAGTACTCCTTCTTGTCTTTTCTCAAAGAGTTTATATACGATTGGCAATTTTTTAAAAAGATTTTATTTATTTATTTGACAGAAAGAGAGATCACAAGTAGGCAGAGAGGCAGGCAGAGAGAGAGGGGAGGAAGCAGGCTCCCTGCAGAGCAGAGAGCCCGACGCGGGGTTAGGACTCTGGGATCAAGACCTGAGCCCAAGGCAGAGGCTCTAACCCGCTGAGCCACCCAGGCGCCCTGGCAATATCTTTTTTAAGTGCCTCTTTTTCTAAGAAGACTTGAACCTTTAAATTAGGTTTAATATGCTTCTTATATACTCTTTTTGCAACACTTCTCATACATACAGTTGTTAGCTTAAATTCTGCCTGCCTTATTGGGCTATAATCTCCATGAGCGCATATACCTGTTCCTATGTTCCTAGCATCTGGCCAAGTGCCTGGATCAAGGCACATATAAATGAATATTTACTGAATTGTATTAAATTAAAGGGAAAATAAGAGACAAGGAAAACTGAGAATTGTGGCAAAATAGTGAAGATAATATAAGAAATCTTCCTTTGGGGCGCCTGGGTGATTCAGTGAGTTAAACATCTGACTTTGGCTCAGGTCATGATCTCAGGGTCCTGGGATCAAGCCCTGAGTATTTGTGCTCTCTCTCATATAAATAAATAAATAAATAAATAAATAAATAAAATCCTTTTTAAAAAGGAATAAAAATAAAAAATATCCTTTTAATTTTTTTAGTTTGCTTTTTATTTGAGTATAGTAGACATCCATGTTACATTAGTTTCAGGTACAAACAGAGTGATTCAGTATCTCTGTATATTTTGCTAGGCTCACCACAAGTGTAGTTATAATCTGTCACCATACAACTATTATAATATAATTGACTATATTCTACAATATACCTTTTATTCCCATGACTTATTCATTCCTCAACTGGAGGCCTTTATCTCCCACTCCCCTTCACCCATTTTTCCCATCTCCCTACCTCCCTCCCCTCTGGCAACCATCAGTTTGTTCTCTGTATTTATAAATCTGATTCTGTCTTTTGTGTGTTTATTAATTTGTTTTGTTTTTTAAATTCCACATATAAGCAAAATTATATGACATTTGTCTTTCTCAGTCTGACTTATTTTACTTAGCATAATACTATCCAGGTCCTTCCATCTTGTTGCAAATGGCAAGCGTCCATCCTTTTTATGGCTGTGTAATATTCCATTATATACATATATGATACATATATACATACACACATATACCACATCTTCTTTATCCATACATTTATCAATAGACACTTAAGTTGCTTCCACATCTTGGCTATTGTAAATAATGTTGCAGTAGGGGAGGGTGGCTGGGGGGGATGGAGCAGCTGGGTAATGGACATTAATGAAGGCATGTGATGTAAGGAGCACTGGGTATTATATAAGATTATATATGAATCACTGACCTCTACCTCTGAAACCAATAATCCATTATATGTTAATTAATTGAATTTAAATTAAAAATAATGTTGCAATAAACATAGGGGTGCATATATAAAAGTCTTCCTTATTAAAAAATTACATTGCAGCAGGGTGCTAGGCTGGCTCAGTCAGAGGAGCATGTGACTCTTGATCTCCGGGCCTTGAGCTTGAGCCCCACATTGGGTGTAGAGATTACTTAAATAAATAAAGCTTTAAAAAATTACATTGTGGCAAAAAGAACAATGAGGCCTAGGTGGATGGTATACTATTAATGAATGAAAGAAAAGAAACAGCATTCACCTCCTATTTTGATTTAGTCTTCTCAGTTAAAGAGGATGCTGTTTGGACTGAAAGAGATAAAGTGAATGGTAGTTCCAGGGAATGAAACCAAACATGACTGGTATTGTAAGAGATCATCTGACTGCTTTAAATGAATTCAAGTTCCTGGATCTAATGTACATTCCAGGGTACAAAGACCTAGTAGATAAGCTGGCTGAACCACTGCTGGCAATCTTTAGAAAATGGAAATTATGCCCATTATGGGGAGGGGTTGGCAGGGGGGAGAGAAGCTCCAAAGATTGAAGTCAGGGAACCCATATTCAGAAGGTCATTTCAGCAGACTGAAGGTTGGTGACCTTGGTATATATCTTGGGTGATATTCTTCAACTATTAAAATGAATAAATAGCTATAGATATTCAGGAAAGGAACCTGTGGTAATGGTAAACCTATCAGAGTTTATTGAAGAAGTGGGGAGGGGAGGACTAGGGGAGGAGATGGAAGAAAAGGGGAAAGAGAAAGAAAGAGATCCCACATTTGTAGAGTAAGGAAGGTCTGCTTTCAATCCCAGCTCTTTCACCTCTTAATAAAATGACATTGGGCAAGTTATTTAACTTCTATAATCCAAATTTTCCTATTAGTAAAGTAGAAATACTAAGAGAACAGCCTACTTCATAGGGTAGTCTTGAGGTTTAAAACAAATAATGTGTCTAAAATGGTTATTTATTGGGGCACCTGGGTGGCTCAGTGGGTTAAGCCTCTGCCTTCCGCCAAGGTCATGATCTCAGGGTCCTGGGATCGGGCCCCACATTGGGCTCTCTGCATAGCGAGGAGCCTGCTTCCCCCTCTCCCTCTGCCTGCCTCTCTACCTACTTGTGATCTCTCTCTCTGTCAAGTAAACAAATAAAATCTTTAAAAAAATAAAAAAATTTTTTAAATGGTTATTTATTTATTTATCAAAACCAGCGATAACTGTGAAGTGATGGGAGTGGTAATGCATGATGGTGATGGCCGTAATACTGAAGGAGGAAGAAATGAAACAGTCAATGAAAATATATTCCCTTTTTGAAGGGATAACTAGATTGGTAAATTAGGAGAAAGCTGTACTTAGTATGGCTATATTCATTATATTTGTTTAGTTTATTTGAATTTCAGCAGGACGTTGACAACATCTCCACAATAACCTTGTGAAAAAGCAGAAGGAATATAGGATGGATGATAAATAATTGGTTGAACGATCATACCAGATAGGCTCATATGATCCTTTTTTTTTTTTCTTAAGATTTTATTTATTTATTTGACAGAGATCACAAGCAGGCAGAGGCAGGCAGAGAGAGAGGAAGGGAAGCAGGCTCCCTGTTTCGCAGAGAGCCCGATGCGGTGCTTGATCCCAGGACCCTGAGATCATGACCTGAGCCGAAGGCAGAGGCTTTAACCCACTGAGCCACCCAGGCGCCCGGCTCATATGCTCCTAAAGGAACATCTCCAGAAGTGTAATTCTGGATGACGTCCTTAGCCATTCTTTTTTTTTTTT